GGAAGACCAATTCAAAGGCATACCTTTAAGCCGTTATCATACTTTGCAGGTGTCACAAAGAAAAGAAAGCAAAAACAACATTAGACTACAATTTTACCAACTATTGAAATTTAACAATCTTTTTGAGACAGATACTGTACCCGACCCCCAGGGCGCCTGGGAAAAAGCCCGCACCGCTGCGCCGCGCCGCCACGCCGCCGCGCCGCACCGCACCGTGGCGCGCCAGGCAGCCCCGGCGGCCCGCGCTCGTGCCCGCCCGCCCGCCCGCAGCTTCGGCGCCGGACTCCGGGGCGGTGGCGGTAGCGGTGGCGGCCACCGCGCTCCCTTCCTTAGCGCGGGGCCCCGGCTCTCAAGCCCCCATTGCCGCCCGGAGAGCCCTGACGCACACGCACACGGCAGCAGAACTGGCTTCGGCTAGGAATCCCAGGAAGGACAGACCCTTTTTTTTCCTCTTTTTTTTTCTCCCCCCAATTTCCACGTCTGTATAACCGGCTTAGGGCATTATTAGCACATGTCCTGGCTCGTGGGCGAGTTGGTGGCAAAATATGAACTGGATACTCACAGAGAGTCCGAGAGGGTGCTGTGCCTTCCTCTGCCCTGTTCGTCTTCGCTGGGAACGGCCCCTCAGCGCTGGGCTGCGGGAGGGCAGCAGGGCGGAGCGAACCTCCTTTCGGCAGCTCAGCGGTGCCCCTTCTGCAGCTGTGCCGCCGGCAACATTTTATAGCGGCGGCAGGCGTGTGTGGCCCTTTAAAGGCGCTCGAGCTGGTGCAGTCACCGCGGATCCTGTGAAAGCGAAGGGCCGGCTGGGGAACGGAGTCCGCGTGGCCCCGCCGCTCCGGCAGCCCTGGGGACCGGCTACGGCTCCTCGCGTGGGGCTGGCGGGCCCAGGCCGTGGGCACCCCTCGCCGGGAGCCCTGGCCGGTTGCCTGTGCTTTTAAACTTGGCGGGGCCCCGGGCCCGGGACACGGGCTCTCCCCACTGCCCTGCATGGACTTGCCCAATAAATTCCACTTAGTAATTTCACCGAGGCGAGGGAGAGCTGTTAGTGTCTGTTTTCTGATCTAAATCTAGCGGGTGGCCAGAGCGGGCTTCAGGGGTTCAGGGCGGGGTGGGGAGACATGGGCTCAGGGGATGACCCAGAGCTGGGGAATGCACACGGGACAGGGCCGACGGGGCATGGTCTTAGTTTTCTGCAGCGCTTTCTAGAAATGTGTCTGCCCCCTGGGGGCTGCACCATGTCCCTCGCTGCAGGGATGATGATTGGGGTCGCATTCCGCTAAAAGTCGCAGATTCTTGGTTTCCCTGGGAGGCCTAAACTGAGATTAGGTTCGAGAGTTTCTGTCCTGTGGCCGTCCCGTGTAGCAGAAGGCTGGCAGGATAGGACGGGAGAAATACCGCTCTACCGGACGGTGGGGCCAGGTGCACCTCACGGGGCTTGTCCAAAAGCCCAGAACCGGCGGCGGGGTAAGACTTCGCTCCCGCATTCACTGCCTTCCCATGAAGCCAGGTTATTTTATTATAATTAGATTATCATTCTCATCTAGCAAGAACATTTTGCATTGGGAGTACATCTTTCTTGCCTTGCAATGTTATTTTACAATGTGTTACTGGAAAGAGGTCTGTGTCTCCGCTTAATCCCAATTCCTGTTAGTTGCAGCCAACCAACTCCCACTTACCTCTTCCAGGAAGACCATCGGGATTACTCCTTGACCAAACTCTCATTTTTCTCAGCCTTTCGGCGACAGCTACTCCGTTTACACGGTTTATAAAACCTGCTGTTAACTCCCTATGTTAAGAAAAGGTGGGGAGGGGTGTCAAGAAGTCAGTGTTCACTGTTACATGTGTTCTGTCTTCTTAATTGGACTTGAAGACCTGAAGGTCTTTTTCTTTTCGTTTTTTTCTTCAGTATCTCTGAGTGCCCTGTATTTGCTCTTCTAACAAAGTTCTGTTTGTTGACAGACTGTCGGGCATACTGACATGAAGACGGGGAGCAACCAGAGGGCGGGATTAAGGCCCTTTCTTGGCATCTGGAAGCAGATGCGGCAGAGCCCTGAATGAGAGGTAAACCCGTTCCCCAGCCCCTCCATTCCTCCAACGACATCTATATCAACCCGTCCCGCTTATCGCCTCTGCCTTTTTCTTGTTTTGCCCAAACACTGGGGGTCGTGCTCAGCTTCCCTGGGATTAAAGGCGGGATCTGCCCAGACCTAAAGCCCCACAGGCTTTGCATGTGAAATACACCCTCAAGCCCTCATGGTGAAAAAAAAAATGTTCCCGTGACATCCAAGTGGCGGAGAGAAGGAGCGGCTCGAAGGCTTTTGACTTGGCGTGCCACCCATTTGGACCCCTGACCTACTCTCCGCCTCAGCCGCTTCTCTGGAGCAGCTCTAGCGACGGCCTCAGCGTCTCCGCCGCAGGCTCCGGATCCGGGAGGTGCAGATCCGCCCTCCATCTATTGGATGGCTCCCAGGCCAATTGTTAGAAAGAGGCATATGTTCATCTCGGCTTCTGGAGTGTCTCCGGAGCAGTTGCTCAACAGCCAGCCCCCTCCCCCATCCGGACCATTGAAGGGCAGAAAAAGCGCCCTCCGCCACATTTCTCTGTGCCCACGTGCCAGAAAAGGGGCCTCCCCACTGATGACTTCCTGTCATCTCCACTGCCCATCTCCTGGGGACTAGAAGCAAGGGGGGCGCTTCTAGCACTTAGTTTTGGAGCACAAAAGCCACCCCTTTGCTTTTGGGGTAGATGGGGAGAGGAGGTTAGTTGTGGAGGCTGAGAGGGTGCGAAGGAGACATTTGCATTTCTTGGCAAATCTACCCTGGATCACTGACTTCGCAAGCAGCTCCCGCAGAGCTCAGAGCCCTGCGCTGAACTCTTATCTCCAACTTGGAGTAGGCTACCAGCTTGCAGAGCAAGGAGAGGACAGGGATGATCACCCAGTAAGAACCTTCTGTGCTCCAGCTTTGGGGCTGGCATGTTCCCATCCATCATCTCATTGAACTTGAAGGGCAGCTCAGGAGGTAGGGTTTCCTAAGAGTGAAATAGAGTCTCGGAGAGTTGCCTAAGTTCACACAGCCTGGAGACCCAGAATGAGGCTGGCTGCAAAGTGTTTGCCCTCACTTCACCACCTCCTTGCCCCAGAGGGTAAAGAGCGGGTTTAGAATACATGGACGATCAGGTGTCGGTCCAGGTGGGTTTGAATCAGTACTCTGCCATTTGCTTGCTGTGTGGTCTTACCATCAGGTAGCTTCAGTTTTTGAGACTCGGTTGTCTCAACTGTTCAATGGGATGATAAAGTTATCTACTCTGTAGGGTTTTCGTAAGACTCGGAAAGACAGAGGTAGCCTGGTTTTTGCCAGCTCTGTATAAGAGGCAACAAACCATATTATACTGTGCTTCCTGATTTAGTTTCACTTCAGGCGCAGTAATAGTTGATGACTAAACATCAGAGCGAGCTTGGAGGAGATACAGAAACTCAGGAAAGAGAGGAAGGGAGAGGAAAATTTAGTTTTATTCTTAAAATCCCACTCTCCAGAAACAAGGGCTGCCTGAACCACGAGACACAAATATATTTGGGACCAATTAAAAAAATGATCACTTTTTATAGGCCAGCCTATTGAGTTAAAAAGCACAAATTTTGGTTCAAGGATGTTTCAAGCGGGATTGTAACAGTAAAAGATGAAAAGCAATCTAAATGCCCATGGTAAGGGAGTGTGCCTTGTTACCTTGATATTAAAAAATTAGAAATAACAATAAATCTTTGTTTCAAACTCCCTTATTCATGGGAGAATGTTGACAACAAAATGCTGACTTAAAAATACTGGGTACAAAATTGCATAAATATGATGCTAAGCAGAGGGCACACAGTGTACAAAATGAAATGCTACCATGTCTGTGCAACATTGGTCAGGAAAACACCAAAACAGTGCTGGTATGGTGGTGGGATTTTGAGTGATTTTTTTCCTCCTTTCTCTGTGTTATGCCATATAATTATTCTTTTTCTAAAAAATTTATTCATTTGAAAGGTAGAGTTATAGAGAGAAAAGAAGAGACAGAAATCTTCTATCCACTGATTCACTCCGCAAATGGCCACAATAGCCAGGGTTAGGCCAAGCTGATGCCAGGGGCTAGGAGCTTCTTCCGGGTCTCCCACTTGGATGGCACGGCCTCAGGTGCATTAGCAGGGAGCCAGATCTAAAGTGGAGCAGCCTGGACTTGAACTGGCCTCCATATGGGATGCCAGTGCTGCAGGCTGTGGCTTAACCTGCTGTGCAACAGTGCTGGCCTCTATATTATTCTTATAAGCAAATGTAAGTTTAGAGTTTATAAGCTGCATAAACAGTGTGTTCCCACTTTTGTTAAAATTATATGCGCATTCTGTTGTAAACACTGGAAGCAAATATACCAAAATGTTAACAGTG